GGAAATCCTCTACCTATGATCGGGGTTGTTGGTTGCTATAGAGGTCTGGAGAGTTGCATTGGTTTGAGTTAGGTTTGCTTGGGGACAAGCAAACGGTTAAGTGTGGGGGAGTTTGATAGACCGATAATTGCACATGTTTTTACCCCTATTCTTGAGCCGTTTGAGAGGTTGATTCTCGTCTTTTAAGCCGATTTCACGCGAGGTTGTACGTTTATGTCATATTTCAGGACCCGGTGTTGGAATCGAGGCGAAGGAACGAGATTCAGGTCGAAAGGAGCAAGTGAGGCTTGAAGTGTGCTGGAGAGCAAAAATACCCGGCCATGAGCAAAAATACCCGACCGGGTATTATCTGGCCATGGTCGGGGATTTTTGGCTTTGGGCGTCCGTGAGAAACAGAAGGGGGCCCGGGCAGGAGGCGAAAATCCCCGGTCGAGGATTATTGGCCATGATCGGGGATTTCCCCTTAGGCAAAACGCGCGTTTCAATTATACCCGGTCGAGACCCAAAATACCCGACCGGGTATCGCGATCATCAGCAGTTTTAAAAGAAAAGAAGGCAAAAAATCAAAGGGTTCCGAGTTTTAGAGAGACAGAGCGATTCCTAGAGAGAGAAAGCGACGAACCAGATTTCCAAGTGCCATAGCTTGATCTTCATCACCATTAGAGCCCGGCTTGAGCTTGGAGAAGTACCGATTGACAACCAGGAGCAGAAACTCATCCTTCACAGTATGATTTCCGCGTCTGAATCTGCTTTTGCTTCTCTCTCTCCATGGAGTAGTTTCCCCATTCATCTGGGTATGGGGAACCCTAGATTTGTATGTTAGGTCTAATTGTATGAACCCAAGTACAGATTTTATGATTTGATTATATTCTATTGAGGCTTGAATGACTTGAATCCTGATCAAATTCATGTTGTTTCTGCTTTAACCTAGAATGAGAATATCTGCCTAGGTTGATAGAGCACTGAGCACCCTTAATTGAAGGTAGTGAATTGGCGACTTTAGTCGAGGAGCCAATTCGCTATTCTATACCGAATTCAATTCGGTAGTGGAGGTTTGGTTCGTTAGGGCCTCAATCTGTTTACTCCGGTGGAGGTTAGTCGCCCGCTGGAGACTCAGACTGAGAGGGTCTGGAGACCTTTAGTCGAGACTTCAGACTGTTTAAGAACCTTCCGCAGTATAACTTTCATGAAAACTGAACTTGGTAAATTGCAATCCGGCTTAACTGCAGTCTAGGGGGAACCATATCCGGGTGACCTCTCTCGACTTGAAAACAACCGTTTAACTTGCTTTGTTTGTTTGTTACTTTGGACTTGCACTAAAGTTTCACTGCTAGATAACAAGAATTCACCGAGTAGTCATCAAATCTAGGACTCGGGTTGACATTAAAACCCAAACCCGCTATACTACGCTTTAGGAAGTGGTTACACTTGGCCAATTTCTAGAGTGACAGTAGGAGTGAGTCAGCTCCATACTTAGCCAAATTCATGTTTTTCATGTCTTGGTACCAAGCGCTGCCTTGCCGACTTGGTACCCTCTTGGTACTTTTGCTTCTTAATTAACCAATCTTGCCATGCTTGGTACTCTCAGCCTACCAAGCCTCTTTCGTCTTGGTACCCTATCGTTTGGCCCCCTATTGTCATGGGATTCCATACTTAGCCAAATTTCATGCTTGGGTACCAGGACTGTCTTGTCGGCTTGGTACCCTCTTGCTATGGGTGGTATGGCATCGTGTCGTATGGCCCCCTGACCATGAGATTCCATACTTATCCAAATTTCATACTTGAGTACCAACCTTGTACCCCCTTGGCTCTAAGACTTATCCAAATTTTATGTTTGGATATCAGGCCTGCCTTGCCAGCTTCTGTCGTCCCGCCTTGTTTCCATACTTAGTTTTTTGGATGGCCCCTTTTTTTATACCCAGCTTGGTACCCAGCCTTTTGGCACCTCGTTATGCCGCCTTGTTTCCAAACTTAGGTTTTTGTGAGCCAAATTGCATACCAAGGGGTGGAGGCAAAGTCCGGCTATGGGGCAAAGGAGACGGGTCCGCCATCGTATAGGGAAGAAGGGTTTGGACACTGAGGCCCAAAAACTCAACCCAACAAGGCCCTACTAGCTCTGTTAATTATTAATGTTGAGCTGGTTTTACAAATTCATTAAATTTCTTGTAGTTAATCGATGTGGTACAAACTTATTTTTTGTGGGTAAACAGATTGGCAATCAATCTCTAAATTGTGGGGTAGCCATTATGCATTTGATACTACTATTATGCTTTGAATCTATTGATGCTAGAATGAAATTGGATTAGGAAGAGTTGAATCATGCTTGTATTTGTTTGTCCAAATCGAGGCTCTTCGCTTCTATTTGTGTTGGATGAAATCGATACTTTATTTTTCCTCTCTATATATGTTTGGATGAGTAGGACTACTCTTGAGCATCACACTCGAGTTATGTGTATTGAACTGAAAAAGAGTAATGTCAAGTTTTGCTCGGTTTGTCCTAAACAATCAACGTTAGCCACACATGTGTACTTGATTATATATTATGGTATTTCGACTATGAGATTACTTTTTGTTTGGTCCAACTAGAACATTGTCCAATTTGAAGTATGAGGTGAAGTTTAGTAGTATGATATTATATGCTATATCCTTACCTTAATCGCTAAATTTAATTAAAATTCAAGGGTGATTAATTTTTTATACTATGTTGAACTCGTATAAGTTTATGCATGCTCAATATGATTTGAATTGCTAGGTCTTATGGTACCATTTGACTTAGGGAGTGGCAATGGGGCAGGTCTAAGCGGTATCTCAATACTCATACCTGTCCCGTGGCAGGTCGGGTAATTTATCATGGGGCGCGGGTCAGGGCAGGTAGATCCAGTGGGTATGTAATTTATATGAAAAACATTAGAAATATTCGTTAATTTCATTAAAAGACCAATAAACAAACCATAATATAATAAAATATAGTTAAATTATTCGAGAAATTGAGTTTTTCACTTATTTACAACATCATTATAGCTAAAATATGAGGTAATATAAGAAAAATCCTAAGTAATTTGACTAAGATTACATGTAATTTAAGCAAGAACAGGTCGAGAATGGGACGGGTCAGAACAGGTCGGGTCGATGAGAGGTACTCATGTAGGCAGCGCGGGGCGAACCTGCCCCAAAACAGGCTAAAAACTCTTTCTTGATAGCTCAAATAAAATTAACGTGATGTTTGAATGAAATAAAGTGTGGTAATTTGGAAAAAAGTCTCAAATGTTGAGGCAACCGACATTGCACTTGGTCCAATTCACATAAGGAACATATTGAGTAATGGATGGTGGTCGTCCTATATCGGGACGACCTTATGATTAGTTTATCACTTATCCCTAAGGATCGGTTGTTTGAGAATGTGTATAAAAGCCACATATACATTTTTTGACACTATGTATATATTGACCATCCGCATGGACTTAATAAAACAGTGATTGTTACTCCTGCACAATAAATAGAAAATAAAGGAGAAAAGCAATTTCGAGAAGTTATCTCTTTAAAAGAACAAGTTACAAGTTTACTGTTTGGTAGAGTCACATCACACAAGTGGCTATTTCGAAATTGAAAGAAACTTTGGGTGCTTGTTTGGAAATTTTACAGATATTTTTTTTTGCTTTTCCCTTCCATCTCTCTTCCCAGCCACACAACTTTTCTTCTCTCTTTCTCTTCCTTCTACAGAAACCAACAACCCACTTGTTTCTTTCTCCCTCTCTCTGTACAAGAACAAAAAAAAAAAAAAACAAAAAGGAAGGATTGAAGAAGAAGAAGACGCAGGAAGCAGAAGAACCAGGAGAAGAAGGAACCCCCACCCCACCCCACCTCACTTGTGCTCTCCTTCTCTCTTCTCTCTTCTCTCCGACGTCGTCTCTTTCTCGCTCTGCGATCTCAAATCTCCGAAATCGCCCATGAAGCGGCAAACTTGCCAAGGAAGGAGAGTCATTCGACGCCTGGTTGGCTAGATCGTGAGTTTTCTTATGTTTTTAGTGTTCTTAACGCTGCCGATCTTATTTCTCCGAATCTGTTCGTTTATTTTTTCTGTTTTTCTTTGTTCTCTTACTTGGTTAGAACGTCTTTTTGGATCGATGAAGAGAAGGGAAGGCGTGAACGACGATGAAGGTTGGCAATGGACGTCGGTGATGGTCCCAGCAAGTGACAATCATTTTTTTTTTTTTTGCATATTGTCCTTTTTGGATTTTTTTTTGGTTTGAGTTCTTACTTCTTGTCATCTTTTGTTCCTGGATTTTCGATCAGGAAGAAGGAACATGTCATGCCGGCGGCGGTGGGACTGCTGTCAACCGCGACCAAGGTGGTAAGTTGTTTTTGTGGATTTATTTCCTTTTTCGGTTTTGACATGTTTAGATTTTTATGGAGTGCTTTCTTGCTAATCTAATTGGAATTATTATTTTTGGCTTTTCGAATTAGGATACTAGCCAGGATAATGGAGGAGCTGCTGCCAATGTAGATTTCCAAAGGCAGCAGAGCCAATGAGGGCTACCCACTGCTCTTTGGGTAAGGTTCTTTTTGGGTTTTGGTTCTGTTTTTAATCTTGATGACTCCTTTCTGTGGAGTGGTTCTGTATGTTTTCAGCCATATGGGTTTTCGTTTTCCCGAAATTAGCTTCCAGTCATTGTCTTTCTCTCCTCACAAGCTCTTACTGCTTTTCTCGGTTGATTCATCGGCCACAAAAACATGCTAACAGCGAACTTGCTTGGGGAGAAGGATTGTCAGCAGGCGGCTTGCTTAGCTTGTGAGTTTCTGCCTTTGATTCTGTTCATTTTTTCGTTACTTTTAGGGTTTTGGTCATGGCTTAGACGCTGATTTTCTTAGATGGATTCATAGATTGCAATAATAAGTCAATGATGAACATTCTTGAGGGAGAAGGAGGAAGCAAATGCAGAAGTCCAATGACCAATGAGTATATATATCTATAATCGTTGGGAAGGAGGAAGCAGCTGCAGATGTCTACCATGAAAGCTTCAGTGTTGGTGATCTCCTCTCTCTATTTCTTCTGTTTTTAGTTTAGGTTTCTTCTCTTTGCGTAGATGGTTTAGAGGTCTTGAATAATTTGTTTATAATTGGTCATCAGTTCCAACTATCGCGCTACACAGTATACTTTTTACTCTATTGGTTTTAACACGGACTAGCCTCGACTCCAAATCCTTTTATGCTAAGATTCCTATGTTTTGTTTCCCTTACAGATCAAGTCGAGTTGGTTCTCTTACTCGGTTGGACCTTCAGGTGAGCCACCATTAACATGCTATGGGGCGTGGGGAGAATGGGGATTTCTTTCATTTTTGTTGTTTTCCCCTGAACCTATGCATTTTAGCGGGGGATATCACAGCTTGAAAGCTTCTTGCATACTGTTTTGCGCCTCCAGTAGGCTGAGTTGTATATTTTTTGAGTTCTTAAATGACACAGACTTTGGAAATCACACGGACAAAGGTGTTGGGGATTGATTATTTCAGAACTTGAGGTTGTATGGTTCTGTTTCATTACATGCATACGGTCATATAACTAGGGTGATGCAAAAATATGGGGAATTGAGTAGAATGCATTTTCATTAAAGTTCTCATCAATATTAGCCATTGATTTTGCATATTTCTATGAATCCATCACAGGGGATGAAAAGTGAATGGTTTTTTTCTTTTGAATTGCAGGTGTAGCTATATTTTCCCTTTGCATCCTTCCAACCGAGGAGTGATAAGTCGGCTTGGGGTGGGTCTCCTCAGCCCCCTTCTATGGAAATGTCAAGCGCCAACGGGGAGACAACATTAGTGGCCAGGGAGGATGACGGGTAACAGAGAGATGAGAGGAGTTTTTGCTCTGGCAACACCGTACACTGTCCCTTGAAGGTAATCGCTTTCTATGTCTCTTTATTTTACTGGTTCTGTCTAGAAATTATAGCTTTTGCCTGCTTTAAACTGTATATCTAACTTAACTTGAGCACTGTGTCTCATTAGTCAAAGTTGCTCTCTTGATTTTTACTTTCTGTTCCCGTATCTAATTGTTTGCACTTGCTATCCTGTTCCCGTGTTTGATTGCATGCTCCCTATGTTGGGTTCATAGGGTCTATGTGAAGGTACTCAGTTGAGTAGGTGATCTTCTGCAGGTCTGGAACCAATGTCAGTTGAGCCATTGGAGGAGTGTAGGCCAGCAGATGTCTTCAGAGAGAAACACGGCCAATCTGCAGCAAGCAAGCTGATCAGATCCCTCTTATGCTTGCAATTTAGTGACAAGGTCAGCTCCTTAATGCAAACTCTTTTGTTATGTCCACGCCCTTTTCATCAACTGTTCTGTTCTACTGAAATTCACTCGATCCTGCTTAAGAAATTTGATGTGCCAAATCAATTTTACTCCTTTTTTGGGGTTGTCCTTTGCTAATTTATCCGTACAATTCTACGGAAACACATACTGCATTTCTTGCGATAAATACCTTTCGAAATTTCTTCACAACTGAACTCCAATGTGTTCATTTTCCCTCTTGATCGTCGGTTGTTGTTGAGTTGTTCTTATCAGCCTATCATGCGCCTGAAGGCCTCAGGGTCATGCACTCATGTTGTTGTTCAGCCTGTGCCCTATTTGTTGTAAATTGATAGAACTTAGGTTAAACTTTGCTGCAATTTTGTTCTTTGATTTTAAACTTCTCTTTGCAAATCCAATGTATTTTTATGGTATCAGTTCCCTTCATTCCTTACCTATCAATTAAGTTCCTATCTTGATCAGATCCTGAGATTGAGTTCCTGTGTAATCTCGCTTGGTGTATTTGCATTTAATCATGAACTTTGTATATCGTTTCATGGTCTAAGCAATATGAAATCAAAACTATGCGTCCATCTAATGCTACAGGTTTGATGTTACAGGACTTCTGTGATGCTGCAGTTCAGCAGCAAGCTCAAAAGGGATGGAGTCAGAGAAATAGCCTAATAAATAAAAGATATCGTCCAATGGGAGAATGGAATGAACAAACTAGGGGAGTAATAACCTGCTTTTGTATGTTCTAAGTTATTCTGTGCAATTCAGTAAGTTTGTGAGCTAATTTATTTGGGTCTCCGGAACCCTTTGCAATTATATGCTTCTCATATCATAGTTGTCCATTTGCCAAATCTTAATTCCTCGGTGGAGAGTAAGTCTGCTGTAATTTGTCTCCATTTTCCATAATGTCATTGCTTTGGATTTCTTCCTTTCTTCGCATAAAGTTTCGGGTCATTTCAGAACATGTAGGGGTAGAAACCTTCTTAGTCAATAGGGCCTGCCAAAACTAGGTTCATGTATGTACTGTTTCAAAAAGTACCTTGGCTTTAATTTTTTGTGCATTTTCTATTAGTTACCCTCTTAATAGTGACGAAGTGGCGCCTTATGGGATATATGAGTTGCCCTCCTGCTGCATGCTCAATTATCTGACCCATTTTTTAGAGCTAACATACATTTGTTGTGCCTTTCCGGTCGTAGGTGGGTCAGATTGTTTTACTATACGGCCTTGCTCACTTGGTGGCGCTAACGACGCAGAAGATCTCTATAACGTCATGAGAACGTTCAAGTTTTAACATTCCACTTCCTCGGCGAGACTCTTATTCAGTGTACCTTAATGGTATGATCCCACCTATGCATTTATGTTCTCTCTCCTTTGTCTTATGTTCACAGTTGATTTGATCGTCCTTCGAGTATGCTGAGAACTTTTTCTTCTTTCCATGAATCTGGGTGTGCTTTAGCCATACCTTTTCCTCTCTTTATGTTTCCCATATTTTGCCTTTCTTTTGTGATTCATTTAGTCTTTCTTGGGGTTTCCTTTGACGGGTATTGCCCCCTTCCATGTATCTAGATTTTGTATATAATAACATGTTTATGTTCTCAATCATCTTAACTATTCCTGCCTTTTAAATGGTCAGTTAGGTTAGCTTCACCATCTGATGTTATTGATATGAATTCAATTTTGTAATGCTATCTAGAAATAAGGAATTTTTAGTTGCTGCCCCGTGCACTAATTTTTATTTAGGTGTATTTTATCAGTGATTTATGAATGGAGACTGATGTAAAAGGCGGGTTCGTGTGCTTTTATGAGTTCAGTTAGAACAGTCATATTAGATTTCTTTCCAGATTGAGTAACAGCTAAGTACTTAACATTGGGGAACTGTGAAGTGTTCAATTAGTTTTGTTGATTCCTTTTTGTTATATTAAAGCTTTAGCATTTTCTTTTACTTGGAACTACTTGAATGTCAATGCAACCTACTTTGTTGATTAAATACCCTTTTTGCTATTTGACGTAAGCTTGGTGAACATTGTTTGGTGGATAATGGTGAATGTTGTGCCGTTAGGAAACCAACCCAATACAACTATATTGCAAATGCTTAACCCAACTATTTTGTGGCTTCAGATTTGTCAAACCATTGTTCAGTTTACCTGAAATATCCCATGGTTACAACTTTTTTTGGGGTCTGCTAAGCTGTTCTGGGAATCTATTCATGATCCTTTCTTTTGCTGAACTGCAGCTGGAACTGAGAGGAAAACTTCTCCTGCAGAGCTATGATTTTGATTATGTTGCCTCGAGAGGCAATATTAGCAACAGCCGCGACCGATATTTTAGCAAGTTCATGGATCCAACTCTACTCTCTCTTTAGAACCTTAACGAAGAAGAAGAACACGACATCACCTTAAGCCGCTGCAGGTGAGGAGCCCCTCACTTCTTTAGTCTCTTTTTGTTTGGTTGTTTTCAGTGAGGAAGCCACAAATATACAAATTAATGATTGGACTTGGAACATTGTTTGCTTTAATTGTTTCCAATTGATTGGATTATACATAGAGATTAATGTTGTACGCTACTTTAAATCAGGCAACATGCATCCATATAGTTTTGGTTGCCTTTAGTTTGTTCTTCTTTGCAATTCTGAAGCCCTCAAAATTTTAAGTTTCCTGCAAGTTTATTCCTTATTGCAACCATACATTTTCTATCGTTACATTGAATGCTTTAGACCTTTTACAGTCTCATTTACCTTTAATGAGTGCTTTACTATTTAGAATCATGAGATTATTGTGATGAGCCTATTCTGTTTTTCTGTATTGTGTTCCTTAAACTCAATAGCTTTGTGCAGTTTATATTCATTTGGCTTGGCCATTGTAATATAATTTTCCTTTATTTACGCTTTTGCATCTAAGTCATATAATTTCCTCCTCATCTCGTGATTAATACTGTGTTTGGTTTCACAGGATGGTGACAAGTGGGAAGACTATCATCAAGATGGTGACGGGCGAATAAGAGTTGAGGTGTTAAATGTTTCTACGAAAATGATGGGAATCCATGTGGGTTTGATCTGGTTGCTTTTGAAGATTATATTATTGTAGGTGCGTCTATCTTTTTTATCCTATTTTGTATTGCAAGTTTTCCTTTCAGTTTTAAGATTGGAATTTGTGCCTCTGATTGTTGAACGTTGGGTATTTATGTTTTCAATGAAGACTACTCTGGAAGAAAACAAGATATGGAAGATGTATGATGGGTTTTGCCTTCACCCTGATCTATTACTGGGTATTTGACCCTCTTCTCTAATAACCTTTCTGGTTGTATTCCATTACATCTTCTCCATGTCCTTCATAATGTTGCCAGTTTACATTGTACAGTTTGTTTGTTTGTTTGTTTGGTTTTAGCCTTTGTTCGGAGAAAAAGAAAGATTCAAAAAGACTAAAGGAGAACAGCTTAGACAAGAGATAGCTCCACTTTGATTAGAGTCCAAACTACCATTTGGAACCAAGGTTTGTGTTCTTATACAACACATGGAATCGTTCAGTATATGGAATCATTCTTGAAAATATGAAACCCTTCTAGCCTTTGCAGTCGCCCCAAATCTTCTATGTATACTTTTGGATTATCTTTATAATAATTTTGTTTGTTAATCGTTCAGTGCCTGTGTGAAGTTGGATTAAGTTTGTTCTGCTGTTATCTTACGTAATGGATGTGTACTCTCTCCTTGATAACTGTCTGTTAGAAAAGAGCACTGTTTTGAAAATTATTATGCAACTCTGCAAATCTTAGTCTGCAGACATCATTATGGGAGGGAGATGACGTTACCTATATATGCCTACTTTACTGATTCAGATGTGAATTGTCAGGTTAGAACGAGGAAATGCAATGCCATGAATAGTGCCAGAGCCAGGAAGTCCATCATTAAGAGCATTTCTCCTAGATCACGCTGGATTTGAGGTGATATTTCGAAGGCTTACAGAGAACGAGCAGTACCCTGTGGAGCTTTATGGAGAAACCAAAGAGGTATAGGAACTTTCATTGTTTGTTATTATGGTCTTAATCTCAGGGAATCCATTGATTCACTCTAAGTGTCAGTAGAACTTAATCATGATATTTTGGACACTAAATTCAGATCTCAGGCCAAAGCATCATAAGCAGCTCCACAAGGAAATTGAAGGTGCAAGTGCTTTTCGTTCTATGTGTTTTCCAAAATGCATATCGATTTCAGCTTCTGGACTATTTGTCGTTCTTTTGTGGTTTTCGTCTTTTATTGGTTAAATTATGTTAAATGCACAATTTCTGCGACGCCGGTTAGCTTTCCACTGGTGAAGTGTCTTTTATTAGCTAAAGTTAATTGATTACATTGAATTCGTTTTTAGTCAATGGTGTTAACTTGGTTTCTTTCATTTTCTTGATAGCCTCAATGCGATTGGGTCAGTGTGAGCATCAATCACTGCCAGAGATAGTAGTAAAGATAAATTCCTACTAAGCATGATGACCAAATACATGTTAACTTAGCACTTCCCCTCCTGCATGAGTGCACTTCTTCAGTTTTGGGTTCTGCCTCAATGAAAATTGCCTCTTGGGTTACTGATATTGTCAGTAGGCGATAGGTTATCCACAGATGTTCAGGAAGCGGAACACGAATGTTTTTTTTAACTTTCAGCAATGCACTGCAAACAGACCATAAGCACTATTAAAGTCACTTAACCATAGCAAAACTAAGTGCCATTATCCTTTATCTCTTGAATCACTTAATTATTGCCATTCTGTTCATTGATGTCTCACTGTTCTTTGTTAAGGCGTGCCGGGTTTGGGACAACTGAGGAAGTAGAGAGAATAAGTGAGGGGGGAGAAAGAATTTGCAGACGAGGGATGGCCATCAACGGCGAACGAACATGAACCCTGGCGGTACTGCTTTGTTCATTTTCTTTGGTCCTGCATTCGTATTGCTCAGTTTTCACAGTTGTTTGTTTTGTTCTATGCTATTACCATTCTCAGTTTGCGAGGATATCAATGGTAGCTGATAATGCTGGAGTCAAGTGCATTAGGTCAGAGGAAGATATTGGTGGGATTTTGCATCATCAAAGTCTCCATCCTCCATGGATATATAGTGTTAAGCTTATTGTTACTCTTCCCCGTGGAAGCTGCCAAAAGAACAACGAAGCAGCCAGTAGTGGTGAGCTCTTCTTATGCTTGATTTTTTTTTCTTATGCCCCTCATTATATTCTTTCTTCGCGCTTCAATAATGGCCGAAAGTGTGATAGTTGAGCCTGAAGGTGTTCTCAATTTGTACACATTGTTCGACCTTCCAGTCTATGCGTACAAATATTTGGTGTTGTTTTCTCCCTATATACACGCTTTCTTATTCAGAAGTTTTATTCTAATCTTATAATATCCCATTTGACACGTCCCATTTGCTGCTACAGGTACCTTCCACAAATTAAGTAGCAGAGCGCAGCCTTGGTGTTAATGGATCTGAGATGCATGAGCAGAGTTGATTTACCCAGTTTTCATAAATGTTGTAACCCAAGGTAGTGTTTCGATTCCAAACTCTCGAGTTTTTTAGCTGCTTCTTATGCAGCCACTCAGAAAAAAGATTGACTTGCAGTCTAACAGTTGCTTTGGATCAAATACTTTTTACAATCAAAGCAATCCTCTTTTTTTATTTTACATGTACCTTTGTATGTTT